AGAGAGAGAGAGAGAGAGAGAGAGAGAGAACAAAGAGAGAGAGAGAGTATTTTCTCTTGATTTTTCCCTTTTTGGGTGATTTTCATTGCATCAAAAAGCTAAGAAGAATTTGTAAAAGATAGGCTAGTTTTGACTGCAATTTTATACTTTTGAGGACTAAGGATTTTGGGACGTAGCATGGGCGTGTTGGGTTTTCACTAGCTTAAAGGTCTTTGAGGAATTTCCTTTCATTCATCCAGATTTAGGGTGTCAAAAATTTAGATCAATAATGCTATTATACAGTGTTAAAGTCCATGTAAAATGGGTAACAAGACGTATATATATCCCTTGATTGCAAGAACCATAATGAGTGCAAGTATTAGATTAGACTAATAAAGTCAAATGATGCAAAGAATGCAAAGGTGCTAGAATTACTAAGGAGGGACATAGCCCAAGGTCATATACATCCGATGCATTTGACTATCAGGTAAGAATTCCCTGAATTCGTAAAATCAATGGATGAAGCAGGTAACACATGCAGAATCACGAGAAAGAATTCCTTAAACCATTGGATCGAAATCCATTTCAGGAAACATAGTGTGAAAGAAGAAAAATACAACAGGGTTCGATGAACACATCTCCTGCATTGTCCTTGGTCAGTAAAGGTAAGTTATTGGGGATGACTTGGAACAAGTAGGGGATGCTAAATTCGATTGATGTCCAATGACTTTGTTTGGGGGTGTTTTGCAACATAACAAATTACAGAATGGCATCAAGATTAAGGATTTTGTCAGGTTCACCGCGGAGCTATAGTACCATGAATAGTGCTCTTACAATGAACTTGACAAATTGGGCCAAACGGCGTCCAAATGATCCAAAATTTTGTGGAGAAATCTTGGATGATATTTTGAGATGATTCCCAAAACCTCATGGAATTTGGGTGATCCCACATGGGTGTTGCCAAGTTTACCGTGAGGATACAATACAATTGAGCTGCCTTGCTGCCGTGAGGAATTCCTTCAAATCAAAATCTGAAATTTTTAGGGATGATAGGAAATCGTTTGAAGAGCATGAGGATGAATTGTTCAATTTGGAGGTCAACAAGGAAGTTAAAAAAATAGAAAAATACAGTAGTAGACATGTGTTGTGGTTAGCAGCAGACTACTGAAATGGAGTTACCGTGGTTTCGATTAGGTTACCTTAGTGACCTCCAATCAAAGACAAATTGTTTAAGTGAAAAGAGGAATGTCTTGGCAAAACACACCAAAAAACAATTCGTAACAAAGGGTTTAATAGATCCAGAACCAAAAGGTGTCCATTTGATGTAGTTTCCAGCAAAGATGTAAGTTTGCCATGAGCATAAATGGGTCAAGTAAATGACATCCAATCAAGAAAGAATTTTTTATTTAGGTAGAGGCGTCTCCCAGGGACCTAATTTTAAATTTTGGACATGTATAGGGTGTCCAAAACTCCCAATAAATCAAAATAAAAAGGTGGACTGATAATCCAATAAAGAAAGAACTTGTTATTTAGGTAGAG